GAAATAATAATTTATTTCCTCGCGACTTACGAAACCCCAAGAGGTCTGGAACATTCCTCGGGTATAACAATCCCCTGGAGGAATTGTTCTCAAGCTAACAAAAATTAATTTAATAAAACAATTAATTATTATTAAATAAATTATTATAATACGATTGAATTACCATTAATGAAATGAGGAATAGATCAGTAGTTCGAGCCGGGTATAAACCCCAAGGCTCAATTAACGAAAATTTTTACCTTAACAATTTTTCGTACTGAAGAACTTCTAGGATTGGCTTGGGCTTCCTTCCTGCTGTGGTGGTTGGTGATGCCACTTGCTGAACCACTTCACTACTTCTCCCCGCTTCACGCCGAGCGATCAGCTAAATAACCTCAAGCTTCCCCTTCCCACTTAACTCTAATCGGGTATTGTCGGATCCCGAAGATCGAGAGGCCAGTGCTGCGTCGAATAATTATCACGCGCGATCGATTTTATCGATCAGGGGCAAAGTGCCCTGTTACACGTTTTTTTCGGTTAGCAGCTACCGATTTCCGATCGGTAGCCTCTACCGATTTTAATCGGTTGCCTCTACCGAAAAATCGGTAACCTCTACCGAAAAATCGGGAACCTCTACCGATTTACATTTACCGAAGAAATAGTTTTTGGGGCCTATAACTAAAGTATAAATGACATGTCATCATGATTTTTATGTGACAGCAGCATGATTTTCATGTGGTAGTACATAATTTTCATGTGGCAGGCAATCCTTTATTTATAAATTGATGTAACGTTTTCACTGTTGTCGCTTTTTGTTGCTATTGCAACCATTTTGGCAACGATTACCATCATGGGAACGGTTAGATATTATTAATTAAAATTTGTAAAAATATTGATTGATGAAATTTTCAACGATAAACATTTTGTCAGAAGCGTACTCAAATGAAAGGTCTCGATGAGAGTAACATCAGGATGAGCTTATATCTTAAGAAATGTCAATAATTAGGAAATGACGTTGTATTTTGTCCCCTGATGAAAATTTTTAACGATGTATAAGCTCGTCCTGGTGTTACACTTATCAAGATCTTTCATTTGAATACCCACACGAATTTTTTATATATTTTATATATTTTACAAATACGAAAAATACACCAGTGTGGCCAGAACGTGCTCTTTTCTTACCCCCACTTTGTAGGCCACTCTCATCTGACTACATTGAAAAGCGGTACAAAGTGGGGTAAAAAAATCGCACGATCTGGCCACACTGAAATACACAGTAAAAAATTTTTCGTCATTATGTAGTGTAAAAATTTTTGTGTAAAATTTAACATTTTAGTGTGTAGAATTTAACATTTTAGTGTGTAGGATTTAACATTTTAGGATGTTGATTTAACACAATTGTGTAAAAAAAGTCATCAACATAAATTTTTGTGTTAAATTTAACGAAAAATTTTTACAGTGTAGCATATATATATATAAAATGTATGAAAAAAGTCGTGTGCATACTCAAACGACAGGTTTCGATGAGAGTAACATCACGATGAGTTTATATTTAAAAAAATTAGATAAACGGTTCACCCTAAAGGCCATCCCTGCAACTTCCCGTAATTCCATACCTAGGCGCTTAAAATTGTACTTATGACATTTTTGAGATTTTTGAGCTCAAAATATAATTTATGTGATATTTTTAGCTCACTGAGTTCGAAGAGATAATATTTCGATGCATTTGAGCTCTCCCAGCTCAAAAGTCTGATAGAAGTTTCATAAAACACTATTTTTGGAATTTTCAAATCGCAATAACTTTTGAATGGATCAACCGATTTTCACGCGGTTGGCGACATTTGCCGCAGTTTTATCATTCTCATAAGTTATTTTCAGGTTTTAATTGATCGAACCGAAAATTTCAGAGTAACCCCGAAAAAACACTTTTTTCGGTTTTATTTTGTTCACGATAACTCACGAAACGAATCAACCGATTTTGACCAGACTGGCGGCGATCGACGCGGTTTTTTGATGTTAAGAGCTGATTAGTTTTTGGAATTGATCGGTAAAGCCGTTTAAAAGTTATTAAAAAAAAAACCACTTCAAAAAATTTTTTTTTGTAGTTTTTTTGCAATTTCTCAAAATCTACTGGTCCGAATCGGTTCAAATTTTCAGGAAATCTAAGTTTGGTCAAGCCCTTTCGAATGACGCCAACCGCAATCAAATCGGTCAAGCCGTTTAAAAGTTATAAGCGGTTCACATACTTTCGGCCACACACACACACACACACACACACACACACACACACACATACAGACACCGTGACAACCTCGCGGGGATAGTCAGGGAAGCTTCCTGTGACCTTCAAACGTCGAGATCTGATGAAAACTCGATTTTTGCAAAACGGGGTGAAAACAATAACTTCCCGATTTTTGAAAATCTTCGATTTTCTTAGTGGGAAGTTAAAAATAAAAAATGGAGTCGGTTAGTACAGTTTGTCGATAGTTATCGTTTACTGTAAAGCAAATAATTTATTGACGGTACTGGCTTACTATATATCTATAATTATTAAATTTTTTCTTAATAAATTAAATACAACTTACGCTAGAAGTAATTACAGAAATTATCTACGTGTTTATATGACCGTTTTTCTATTTTTGCAGGTTGAAAACTGTTATCACGATTTTTTTTTGTTAGAAATTTCTAGTAAAATTTCGAGAGTAAAACACAATTGTTGGTTAATCACTAGTCACGTGCAATTAATAAGTAATTATAGCAAATAGTTTTTGTATAGTCTGAACATTTTTTTGCAGGTATTATATGGAAATCTGAAATTTGTCCGGGAAACTCAAAAAAATAGCTTTCTAAAACTTAAAAATATCAAAATCTGATCGACTTTTCTTATTTAAAATTCAAAGAATGTTGAAGATAATCAATTCCAGTCACACACTAATTGATTTGCACAATGATAAGCAATGATAAGCATATATAAGGGTGTAAAGTTCAGGGTCAGCATATCTAATGACAAGGGTGGAAATGAATATCCGTTTGGTTTTGACGTACGCTTTTCCTCTTGCTGAAGGCTACAAGGCAGAAGAGGCTGAGTGGTTGTCTACAAACTTTGATTACATCTGCTGTAGTGTGTTGATACCATCCTCATTCCTTCTCATTTTGCAGCACTTACTATTACCTACCATCAACTATTTGTAGCTGGTACATAATGGATACAATACACGTGTAGTATCTCATTCCGCTTGATGCCATCCGGCATTAGTTTCTTGATGATTATATGACAATAACTTGCATACGTTGTATGACAGATGAATCTTCTCAGTATATTGAATTCTTGGGAAGTAAATTTGCTGTCATAATTCAATCAAGCTTTGAGATTAAAAATTTCTTATTTTTAACAAATGAAAAAAACACATTTTATATTTTCTTTACACTTCAAGAGTTGTAAAGACAACGCCTACACATGTCTGCTAGACTCTTGGTGTCTTGACTTACTGTATTGATTTTAAAGTATATTTTAACATCAATAAAAATTTCAGTATAGTTAATTATAATTTACTCCATCATTAACTAAAGATAATGGCAATTAATAACGTAACAATTGATGGAGTATTTGAAAAACTATCGAGTCATCATGGTACAGTAAACTTCCAAGAAGCAACACCAGAGTTATTTTAATTGAGCATAGCCGCGAAGCGCCGCCGACGCGAAAAAGCCATGGCGTCGTTCTCGGAAGCACAAATCCGTCGAGTTTCTTTCTGTTTCTCTTGTTCTTTCTGTCTTCTGCTCTTGTAAGTAAGTGCGAACGATAAAATATCGTCTGTACGTTAAAGCTTAGCTTCGTAACACTCGACGCTCCTTGTACAAATACAAATATCCATAGATCCAAGTATAATTTTATTTATGGGATGGAAATAGCTTTTTTCATGCATAAATTTACTTTACCCAAATAAAGTTCAGGCACATTTATTAATAATTCATAATTCATAATTCATAATACACATTTTAATTCAATCGACTTTGATATAATTTATTCTTGCAAAACTGTATCGACATTACATATTGCAGAATTACCCGTTCTGAGATTACATTAGCACATCAACAAGAACACGAAACGTGCTCTGAATTAGTAACAATATTACTTTTAAAAATATTTTTATAAATAACTCTTTGAAAATAATTAATAACAAAGTGAATTCAGTTTCTTTTTCCACTAATTTTAGTTTTTTTTACCTCCAGATTTTTTTTTTGAAACAAAACTAATTTCTACCTACTACCAAAAGCTCTTTTTTTAGAATTAAATAATATTTGCCTATTTATGATAATGCTTAATGGTATTGGTTTTTAATTGTCTCTTATCAACTACCCATACATAGAAAAATTTTTTTGTCAAAGAACGATTTTAGTTGATTGAAATAAAATTTTCTCTTTTTCCATTCTGATTAAAAAAACAAATTAAGAAGTATTAGAAAGAACGAAATTTGAATTTTTTTTTTATTATGAAAAATTAACATTGTTAATTCTTTTGAAATTATTTTTTTAACCAGGGACATTAAGAGCAACTTTAAGTCTTAATAATTTTCTTGGTTGGAGTAAAATTTTTTTCTTGTGTACAGATCTTGCAAATTGAAGGTTTAGTACACTGAAAGAAAAAATTTATTTTGAAAAAAAATGGGTATTAATGTGACAAGAAATTAATTTGTTGAAAATTTTCAACAATTTTATTTCTTAGCTGAAGAAATAAAAATTTTTCATAAAGTAACATTTTTGTTGAAAAAAAATGTACTAAATTTGGTAAAAAACAATTTTGGATCAAAATTCGCAAGTTGTCTATCTAAAATTGTTTATTTTTCAAATGAAAAAACATTTTTTTCAACAAGAAAGGCATTGTGAGAAAACTTTTGATGTCTTTAGCGAAGAAATAAAATTGTTGTAAAATTTTCAATAAATTATGTTCTTATTACAACATTGCTCATTTTTTTCAAAATAAATTTTTCCTCTTAATGTACAAATTAATTCCCACTGATCTAGTGACATTCTTGATCGTCAGGATAATATAAAAAGGACTTATCTTCACATTGACATGTTAATTCGATACATTTCGCGTTTTCTATATGCATACATTCTTCATCATATAGACATGGATCTCCAAAATTAACTGTAAAATAAAAAATAATATATTAATCAAAGTTATCTAACTTGTTTAGAGTAATAATTTTCTAGAATACATAAAAAAAATGATTTTTTCATAAAAATAAAATTTTTTTAAGATCTAAAAAAATAAAATAAATAATATTCAAATTACTTTCACTCAGGCACATCCACGTTTTATTATAACTTCCTGAAAGTGTAGAAAACGCTGGATTATATTTGCTTAGTCCTGCTAATCTACATTTGTACCCGGGGAAACAACAAGGTACATCAGGACACTGAGAAAAAAAAAACCCATTAATTATAAATAAAAAGACTCTTAATAATAAAAAAAATCTTTTCTTTTATTTGATCAAATACTCACATCAACTCCAGTGTAAGTACATTCATTATCATCAACTGATGGTGGTGGCAGTTCTTGTCCTTTGGCATAAAAAACAGCTCCAATGAAAATGGAAAAAATAATTAGATTTTTCATTTTCTTCGTGAAGAATATTTCGTATCTGTAAATGTTAAAAAAAATATTAGATATTGAAAAAAACTGAAATTATTTTGGGCTATAAATAGTTAATTAATGAAGTTTTGATTGTTTAATGTATAACCTAACTTGTATTACTTCAAAAACTTGAAATTAACCCAACTTATTTTTTTTATAAAATAATTTTGTTAAATTAGTCGTTTTTTAATGAAGATATTTTCATTAAATAAATAGTATAAAAAATAATATTAAGAATAATTTAAAGTTTCTTTTATAATTTTTCAATTACTCAAAATTAAAGATGGAAGTAAGAAAAAACGGATAGATTCTTAAGATTACTTGAAATGCAATTATTTAAATTAGAAAAATTATAATTATGGGTTAAACCATTTGATAAGCATTTATTTACATGTAATTTTTTTTTAATTAACTAGAAGCGAAATAAAAAAAAATTATGTTTCATGTAAACTTAAGAATTCTGCAATATGAGATCAAATATGTTCATCTAATATTTCTGAGATTGAAGAATATTCATTGAAACTACTTGAAATTTTTTACACAAAAATTTATTTTTATCGACATGATAAATTAATTTAATGGAAAAAAAAAAAACTTTAAACTTACCACGTAATAACTTTCATGTCAACTCTGTAATGTCTTATTAAATGACTTATCTTCGATAACTATAATATGGTTTTAATGTCTATAATAATAATTCTTACTGCGTCAAATTAATTTTTCATTAATGACCTCGTTAAAATACTAAATACAATTTTTTATTTTAGAAAAATAAAATACACTTAAGTAAATATAAAATTAAAATTAATTTTATTAAGTGATTGGAATAATATAAAAAAATAAAAAATTTATAAAATACAATCCAGTATTCATTTTAAATAAATAACTATAAATACATTAACAAATATTAATCTTATAAATTATAGCGCTAAGTTTACTTAAAAAAATTTCACAAATCACATTTGAAAAGTATAACTAATAATAATAACAAAATAGTTGTACAACTTCACAAAAAGTCAATTAAATTTTAAACGTTTTTCGTTCACTAATTTTAGATTCTGCAAAATCACTGGAATCTTTATCATTTTTTAAACTTTTTAATGAGTTTAACTTAGGAAGGATAAAATGTTCTTGGTTTTCAGATATTATCTGAGTGGGCTGAATTATTGTATCAGGGGTAGAGGCTAGTACTTGAATGTTGTTCTGGGTTTGACTTCCTATTTGAACTTCCAATTCTGCCTGCAACTGGAGTGTTGCGCTGTTAGGAGTGACAGTTGGTGCTGTTTCTTCATTTTCAGGATTTTCAGGATTTAGCTGGCTGTTTTGATTATTTGTAGGGCAGTTTCTTGCCAAATGTCCATCTTCTTTGCACAAAAAGCATTTGAACGAATCACAGGTAGGATAGATCCAGTCGTTGATGTCCTCATAATTGATTTGAAGCTTGTCGGGGAGTTTTTTCTCATCAGTCGGAGATACATAAACCTGTCTTCTAAAACTTAAGATGTGAGTATACTTGGGGTTGGCAATACCTGTTCGTAAATAGGTTATTGGAGATTGAGGCTCAATTCCAATGTTCTTAAGTTCTTGTTCAATAATGTAATGAAGAATAGTTGGGCATACGTTTGAGAGTACGATTCTCTTGTTTTTGACGATAAGAGATCTAATTGGCAATTGTTGGTTGTTTATAGTTAGTTTGCTTATTTCCACTAGTTCCTCTGCTAATTGATTGGACTCTAGATAAATACAAACGCGGTTCTGTGAAATTTTAGAAATGAAACGAATGGCTGTAGGTTTAACGATAGTTGATAACGCGTCTAAGTACGCCTCAATATTTACATTGTCTAGAGATTCGACGATTATTGCTTGCTCTCTTTTTGGGAAACTGTCTTTCGTTGTTATGTTGGCATAATTAAGATTTCTTTAACTTGAGGGTCTTTGGGACTGTTGGGTCTGTTGTGAGCTCGTTGGTTTGTTGTTGTTGACGTTGAGGTTAGGATTCTTTATGGTTACTTTTTGGAGTATCTCTCGGGCGAGGACTCGTTGGATTTATTATTAACCTTTTATCTCCTCACTCACTGTTTTGTTTTGAACACAATAATTAAATAATTGGATTGTATTAAACGATTAATAACACGTGATACGTTTGTAAACACTTAGAACATATGATTGCTACAAGCGCCCTCGTGAAACTCTTTTTTTTTTTAATTTAATCTTTTTAATTTAATTTCTTAATTTAATTTTTTTTATTCAATTTTTTTTAAATTTTGTTTTTAATTCATTTTTTTAATAATTTTTTATTTTTTATATTAATTTAATGTCTTGATTAATTTTTTTAATTTCATTCATTTTTTAATTTAATCTTTTAATTTATTTTTTTTAATTATTTTTAATAATTTTTTTATTTTTTAGAAATTTTTTTTAATTTAATTTAATTTTTTTTTTGTTTCAGTATTACTTTAAACCATCAATTTACGTATGCAGCTTACAGTATTATCTATCGACAAATTTGGATAGATAATACTGGAATCCGTGATGCTGTAGTCAACTCCCTGAATCGCCAGATCGTGACATTTTCGAGATCTGGCGTTTCAGTTGATGATCAAGTTTTTACCGTTCGGGATGTCGATTGTCTCTTGAGGGTTGATAGTACCAATTTCTATTGGTATATACTTTCGTATACCAGGAGACGGAGACTTGCCAGACCCCCAACGGTACATCATGAATGGTCTGGACCTCCAGAGACTTGGTCAACATGATGGTGATGGAGATGATGCTGATGATCAAGATCATGATGGTGATGAAGATGATGCTGATGATGAAGATGATGATGGTGAAGATTATGATGATGAAGATGATGGTGATGAAGATGATGCTGATGATGAAGATGATGATGGTGAAGATTATGATGATGAAGATGATGGTGAAGATAATGAAGATGATGAAGCTGATGATGTGGCCAATGGTGAAGCTGATGATAAGGCTGATAAACTTATGAGTGATGATAGTGGTGTAAGCAGTGATCTCAGTACGGTTATTCTATCTCCACCACCATCACCACCATCATCACTCGTGAGCGCTTATAACAACCTCCCAGAATCCTTCAAAGAAGATTTTGGTAATCATGAGGATTCCATCATGGATTCTCTTGACCAGTCATCCCAAGCAGTTATTCGCACATTCGCCACTAACATTGAGTCATTCATTCACACATTCAGCAATGTTTATGAGCCAATCATACAAGAATTCATCCATCAACAACAACAACAACAACAGATGGAAGAACATATGGAACAACAATACATGGAACAACAATACATGGAACAACAACACACGGAAACAATCACTCTCGACATTCAAATGAACAATTCATTGTCACATGAAGATCTTATTGATGATCTTCCTATGACGATGGATTGTTCATTTGATGATCTTCCTGAAGAATTCAACATTTTTTATAATCTATATTCGTTTATGTAGGTTATAAAAAATGTTGAATGATTAAAATTTCAATTATTCATTTTCTTTTATTCTAAAAAATTTTTAATTTTAAAATGACAATCAGTCTAGTTTTTAATTGTTATTACAAATTTTAATCTTTCATAAAAACGACAATCAGTCAAAATTCCAAAGACAATCAGTCGCGTTTTTAGATTGTTAAACAACACCAAAGCATCAAACCAAATCAAACAAAAAATTAACCTCTATCAATTAACTTGCTAGTCATATAGTTAATAGAAAGTACAAAATATCAAACATGTTAATTGAAAGAGGTTAGTTTTTATTAATTAAAAAAACGCAAACAAAAGAGAATAAACTAACTTTTTTATTTGTTATTCATTGTTTATTTTATATTTATTTTTTTAGATAAAGTAATTTGTAATGTTAGTTTATTCTTTTTTGTTTGCGTTTTTTATCAAAACTTAAGAACAATAATAATAATAATAATAATAATAATAATAATAATAATAATAAT